CATATGTACAGCGTGGCGACGAATTACTGCTACCCAGGTTTTTTTTTTAGAAATAAAAGGGTCCTTTATATATTTTGCGAAAAAAAGTATTTTATTGTTAATTACCCACATTTGACGGTGAGCCATGTCCACAGCACAGGTGGAGAAGGACTTGACCGGACTTGAAGAGAAACGACTGGTGGGATTTATTGGATTCGACCAAAATCGCTTAGGCTGTTACAGCGCCTGTCAAGAACACGAATATTACCTTTTTCGACCAGTAAAATCAATTATCTCAATGTCTACGCGACTGAAACAAACCCCAACTACTATGAAATTAGTTGCAATCCCATACGAGTCCGGACTAGTCAGAATTAGTCAGATTTTACAGGAAATTGATCCCGTACTCGGTTCTCTGACTATTGAGAGAACAAAAAAGAGCGCAAATAAGGTTCTCTCTCTGTCAGAAGCTGCCAGTTTTAGTCCGAAGGTTGTGTATTGTAAACAAAAGAAAAGTGCACTCTGCCAATGCACGTTGAAAAGTTAATTACTTGTTTAAGTGGATTCTTAAGAATTTGAAAGTATTTAAAGTAAAGCAAAAATTTACAATCAAAATGTGGAGGTTATGTTGAAGTTGTCAGAAGTCACCATTTTTTTTACCAGAAAGCGATCCCATACATATGTATTCTTAAATGAGGGAATCAACCAATCGACAAAAAAATTAAAAATTAAAAGGTGTTCGCACAAGGAGATTTTGCGTTTAACTTTTGCTTTCAACTCACGCAGGGTTGCACGAAAAAAAGTTGAATGGCTAAATGTTGGCTGGCGACCAACTTTGTTGAAAGCGATTAGTTGAAAGGCCGTTCAACCAAAAGTAGAATGCAAAGTTGAACAATGCAAACGCCTTTTTATGGCGAATATTTTGATATTTTTTTATATTTTGATATTTTTAGCGATTCAATTTTTTTTCGCGCAACCCTGCGTGAGTTGAACGCCTGAAAAATTGCCTCGTGCGTAAGCCCTATTAGAGTTAAGTATATAAAAAGAATGTATGTGCAATATACTACACTCTTCCGCTATCTTACAGACTGAGTTCAAGTGTTCACTTTCAATCGTTGAAAAAACTAAACACTACAAGATAAACAGTATCCACTTCAAATTTATTTTAATAGTTATTGAAAGAAGATAGAAATGCGATCCTAACTATTCACTTTAATGTACTTGTACATACATACATATATATTTACACAATGAAAGTTATGCACTTCTGTACGCAGTCTAAGTAAGTTTAAATTTTTTTTCGTTACTGCAAAAATTATCTACTTTTCATGCGCTTCAGAATATAAAACAAAAGGATCAGCAAATCAAAGCGATGGATACCTCGCAAATCGTTCGATAAAAAATTTTATGTAAAATATGAGCCATTGAAGAAATTATTTTTATAGGAAAGCTGTTTTTTTAAAGTCACAACAGGCTTAAAGGAACAAAATCTAATAGGCCTCATACACGGTGCGTCTGACTCGCGAGTCAGTTGTGTACGTGTAGACTCGCCTTCGACTACACACAGTTTCATCATTCAGAGTCATGCCAAGAGTCATGTCGGTGTAACAAACACATATTTATTTTCACAAACACGACTCGCGAGTCAGACGCATGGTGTGTGCCGCCTATAAAAGAAAATGTAATGAGGATGCGCTCAAAATGGATTTAAATAAATTATCAACATTTTTCTGACCCCGCATTGCAGTACATATACCACCATTACTTTATGAGAGCATACAAATTCCGACTTCACTTTTTCACATGCATTTTTGGACCACCCTATTGTACATACAGTGGCGGTCAAAAATGGATGAATGGTGCTTCGGGTTTAATATTCACAATGTTCTTCAAGCTAAAACTTGTTTGATATTTTTTTATAAAAATATGGTTCATTTTGTGCAGAACTTAGAATAATTCCACAAATTTTTATCTAGACTTCCAGCTTTTTAACCAGAATTTTTAGAAATTTTTAAGGTTAAGTTTTGAGCGGCTAAAACATCGCATTGATTTTTTTTTTTTTGTTGACGGCGATTTGCACTTTTTTCTATATAAACATAAATTTCTTGTGGAACAATATGCGCAAGACCGTTTGCGAAAAAATAAAAAAAGTCAACGGCAGTTTTACTAAATTTCGCTATTTATATGAAAAAAAAACTAAAAAGCCGTCAGCAAAAAAAAATTAATAAAATTAATGCGATTTTATAGCCGCTCAAAACTTGCACTCATTTTGTTAGAATTTTATAAGCTTGTTAACTGCATACCCAAAAAATTTCTAAAAATTCTGGTTAAAAAGCTCGAAATTCAGATAAAAATTTTTGGAATTTTTCTAAGTTCTGTATAAAGTTTGAAAGTGTGATTTATATAGGTTTCGTTAAAGCATGAACCATATTTTGAAGTCGACAAATAGATGGCGAGTGTCGATCATCTTCTCGCGAGTATTTTCCAAGACTTGCCGACTGGTCTATGGTGGTTTAAAGTCACACTGATGAGGCCCGATCAATTCGTTGATGGTGGAGTTCAGCGTTTCATACAATACTCTGGATTGGGCAGAGCATACTTAAATTCTAACCGTCAGCCCCCCGCCGATTTGTTGTATTTCAGCCGCGAACTTGCTATTCATACTTCGTAATAATCGGGTGGCGGTACATCAACTCCGTCGTCTTCGACTGGGGGCTAGAGTTCATCATCTCCGCTGGTTTCAGCGTTGTTAATCAATGATATTATTTACAACCTTATAATTTGCCCAAAGAATTATATCTATTCAAATATTAGTGGATTTTGAGATTATTGATAAAACATTACAGTGAACCTTGTAATTGTATCAGCTTTTAATCTAACTAAAAGTAAACCAATAATTTTTGCCTGGTATTCTTCAAAACATTTTATTCGTTGAAAGTTCAGTGATATTGTATCTACTACATATGTATGTATGTACATATATTTGGAATATTAAAACTTAGTTAAAATTTTCCTCAATATTTTTTTTTTCAACACATCCGGCGCTCAACTGTATTTAATCGCGGCATACGCAGATACACCTTCCGTTGCAGTAGCCACCGCGGTGTCCCAACAGAATACAATGAGCAGCGCATAAAGTCTTGGACCAACCAGTGGCATCCATCAAATCACAGGTAGCGAGTTGGCTGCGGCTTTGCAGTTTAGGTTTCTCTTCGGGTATGGAAACGTGACTTTGAACGCTGGATTCTCCAGAAATTTTCATATTGCTGAAGGCTTCTACCACTGCCTTAAGCAACTCCTCTGCAACTGACTCGGGAATTTCAATGTGCGCACTGGATTGCATGGTTGCATCGATGGTGATGTCCTCGTTGCCCTCAGGATGAGCTACAGCTCCGCGCAGCATTAAGATGCTACAGAGCACAACAAAAATGATTCCGGTAGTTTTCATGGTTTTGGATTTTCACTTGATGTAGGCGCAAGTAAAACTGATAATTTGACCAGCGGTTCGCGACTTTTTAAACAAAATTGAGGGATGTAGAGAAAGTGGCAACGTTCTTCTTCGGGAAATGGCTAACCATATGACAACTTCAAGTGTTAGATACTTCATCGCAGAGTGTAAATAAGAAGTGCTTCAAAGATACATAAGAGTATGCACTAAATAAATATTTACTGCATATACATATACTTGTGTTTAAGATAGGCGCCGATTTTGACTAAAAATTAAGTGGGGGTACTTCAATTTTTTTTCTATTATTTTCAAATCCATGTAAAAGGTTAGGTTTTTAAGGGTTTGTTTTTGACACATTGTCGACGGTAGTTTGATTTTAGATGATTCTATAGAATGACTTCCTGCCGTTGGTGATACGCTCCTTGTGATCGTGCGGAATGCGAAGCATCCTACGGGGGCTGGACATAACTATTGGAGAGTCATTCGACTTCCTTGGCAAATCTTCCTTTGGCGCAAGTGGTTTTCTTATTTAAACCGCAGCGTATATAATTGAAAAGAAGTAATTTTTAAGCAAACAACAAAACCGACTTCAATTCTCATCCAAAGATTTAAGATTATCGTTAGTTTATTCATGATCCGATTATCGGATTTTAGTATTTATTAGTATAGGACCCCTGTGGGGTAACACCTTTCCTTTAAAAAAAGAATTATATATAATGAGTTTCGCCCGATAAAAATTCGCTCGATAATTTCTTATCCGTCCATAGTAAATATTGTACATGGAAACCAAAGAGAATAGTGAACCGATTCGGAGAAAATGAAACTAATAAGGCTGAATATGAAAAAGTAGGTTAGGTTATCTCGCCTGCCCTCATCCCTCAGGAAAAGGGTACACTTAGGCCACCATGGGCCCGTTGTGATGCCATATTAAAGACTCCAAATGTCCCTCCTCTCACCTTAGAAATGGAACCACTTCGTAGCTCTGATGAAGCGCACGAAGTCATAAATACTGGCTGAATCCAGTTCAGCCAGACATTCAAAAGAATAATGGAGGACCGAGCGTCGACGAGCCCTCGCCACGCTTTCGATTTCATCCTCATCACGGCAGCCATGACAGTAGTCGTTTGACTGCAAACTCATTCTAGCATCGTGGGTTCCCATCAGGCAATGCCCGGTGAGAACTCCAATAACATGTCGGAGCAGTCGCCGCTCCAAACGGAGGAGAGGGCGAGATCTACGCTTGTCCAGCCTAGGCGAGATATGTCTTTCTATCCTGCAAGTAGGCTCCGCAGACCATCTTATATTTTCCCGTTCGATAAAGTTGTTCTCCAGCCAGAGTTTGCATGAAGATAGCGGATAGCTTCCATTGCTAGTTCATCTGCAACACTATTTCCTGGTATGTCTTTGTGGCCTGGCGCCCATACAACATTAGTGATATAACATCTTGCCAGTTCATTATGAGCCCGTCTTGTTCCGATTTGTCACAATTAAGTGCTCCAATAGCTTCTTGGCTATCAGAAAAGATTGTCACTGCCTTCAGATTAATAAGATAGTCGATCAGTCACCTTACAGCTTCCTTTATTGCTGTTAGTTCAGCTTGAAAAGCGCTATAGAGATCTGGCAGCCGAAAACTATGGCTAAGTGAGAGTTCGTGCGAGTTCACCCCACTTCATACCTTCAGATCCAAATCTGAGCCATCAGTGTAGATGGCTGCTGAGTCATAATACGAGATCAGGGCCGAATCCTTTACCCATTCTTCCCTTGAGGGGATCCTTGTCTGGAAGTGATTCTTTAGTCCAGTAGGCGAGACTGTGTGGTCTAGGTGTCTGAAGTCTACTGGAAGATTTTCCACAATTCTATAGTGTCCAAACCTTTCCACTCCATTTGATTAGCGCATTTAATCTAATAGCATTACGGCTTGCCTGTAGTTTACCATATAAGTCCACAGGTAGAAAGTGAAGCAAGGTATGTGGGGCTTTATTCGGCGTTGATGGTAAAACTCCCGTGATCATTATGCTCCCCACCCTTTGAACCGTTGCTAATTTGTTTCTTATTGTAGATTTATCTACGGCCGGCCACCAAACCGTGATACCGTAGAACAATGTAAAGCTTCAGTCCCCATTTTTCCCTATCGCTAATTTACAGGCGCGCATGGCTGTTATAGCTTTCTTGCAACGCTCTCCTATATTGCGCTGCCAAGTTAACTTTCGGCCAATAGCAATATAGCGCCCAGATATCTAACTTCCTCCGAAAAAGTCAACGCGATGCCGTTCAAGGAAGCCGGACAGCTTTCGCTTTCTTTGAAAAGAGAACCACGGCCGTTTTTGCTGGATTGACACTAAGGCCTGCTTCTTTGGACCAGGTGTCCACGACTGACTCCTTCAGTATCAACTACCGTCAGGGCAAGATCATCCACGTCAGCAATGACTTGGCAATCCGTACTCTGCAACCGTGACAGTAAAGGTAGATCCACCGGTAGATCCCAAAGGAGTGGCGAGAGAACACAGCCTTGTGGAGTGCCGTGGCTTGCCTATCTTGGTATGGATACCTCCCCCATCTCCGAATATATAACTCTACTGCCTAAGAGGCGGTGAACAAACTTGACCAGAGGGTGATCCAGTCAAGGCGAATTAGCGTTTAGAGAACAACCCCCGGAAAAACAGGGCATGGTCGTAGATGAGCGAGATGTTGAAGAATCTCGCATTGATGCGGGTTGTAGCTAGACGTTCGTCCACCGAGGTGAACACCAGTATTTACTCGGCGACGAAGTCTTTCTCCTACCATGAATCCAACACCGAATTTGCGCTCCTTTACCCATCTATCGCATTTCTTGGATGGCGGTGATGTCAGCCTTTGTCTTCCCGAGGACATCAACCAGCCGGGCAGAGGCACCTTCCCCATTAAGGATCTGGATATTCCAGGTGCATACCCTGAAATCATAGTCCTTTATACGTTTACCATGGTCGTCATCAAAAAAAGGGGGTTGTTGTTGTTATTGTTGTAGCGGCTGCAACAACCCCGCCCAGATCGGTTGGTATCTCAGTTGTTGTCGTCAAGTTCCACTAACGGCAACCCTAGGAAGCGTGCAGCTTCTGTGGGGTTTGTCCACAGGGACAAGGCCGTTGGGGTTGTCGGGTTTTCCGGGCATGCGAAGAGATGTTTCGAGTCGTGTGGGGTCTCTCCGCATGCCGGACACTCATTTGGCACATCCTCATTCAGCCTACTCAAGTAGGAGTTCAACCTGCTGCAGTAGCCGGAGCGAAGTTGAGCGAGTGTTGTGCGTGTCTCCCGAGGCAGATGAAGCTCCGTCTCGTCTATGTCCGGGGGTGGTATGCCTAGAACGGCATTCACAGGTCTAGAGTCTACATAACTCGAGACTGAGTCCCTGTGAATGCCGTTCAGGGCCTGTCTGTAAGCTGTCGGGTCCAGAGGTTGCTTAATGAACCTCTGGACTTCGTCCGTCAGTTCATATAGATGCCTCCTGACGTGCCTAGGCGAGGGCTCCTCTGCAAGCAGCTGTCTGCTTCGGTGGCCACTTCTGTGGCTCCCGATCAGGAACTGCTCGCAGAGCATTATATTATGCTCCCTTACAGGGAGCATTTGCGCCTCGCCGTGCAGGTGGTGTTCAGGCGACATCAAGAGGCATCCCGTCGCTGTCCTAAGTGCTGTATTTTGTACCGTCTGTAGCTTCGTCCACTGCGTCCTACTAGTCCCTGGCGACCACACTGGCGCTGCGTAGTTCAAAACCGGCCGGCCTATTGCCTTGTATGTTGCCAGCAACGTTTCTTTGTCTTTGCCCCAAGTAGTGCCGGTTAGCGACTTGAGGACCTAAACAGTAGCGGGGAAAGGACACCACCCTGAGGAACCCCCTGTTTTATTTTTCGCTGCTTACTCGTTTTGTCTCTAAACATTACCGACGAATGTCGACCACTCAGATAATTTGCCGACCACCGTTTGAGCCTCTGTGGGAGAGAGGAGGCCTCTATATCTTCTAGTAGCGTGGAATGGCAGACGGTGTCACACGCCTTTGACAAGTCCAACGCTACTAGAATCGTTCTCTCACAGGGACGGTTACGGTTAAGGCCACGAGTTATCTGAGTGTTTATGGCGTTAAGTGCTGTTGTTGTACTGTGCACTTTACGGAAACCATGCTGATGCTTCGCTGGGGTCAGGTGGTTTGTGAAGTACGTGAGTAGCAAGGCCTCGAGTGTCTTCGCTACCGGGGAAAGCAGTGTAATCGGACGATACGAATCTCCTTTGTTGGCAGGTTTCCCCGGTTTGAGCAGTGGGACCACTCTCCCCACCTTCCAGATGTCTGGGATGATGAGAGTGGCCATTGACAAGTTGAGGACCTCCGTTAGGTACGCTACCCCCGCAGGACCCAAATTTTTCAGCATCAGCATGCATATTCCGTCGGGACCTATGGCTTTGGAGGCTTTCGCCTTCCCGATGGCCACCTGAACTTCACCGCAAGTGAAAGCAAGGGGGGCACAAGTTGTTGGCAGTTTGTGCAGCCTTCTGGTCACTCGACGCTTGGCTTTGTCCACCGGAGGATGCAGTATGAACTGCCGGCTAAAATAGCTCGCGCATCGCTCCGGGTCCGACGAGGCATGGTCGCCGAAGGAAATTTCGACTCTGTCGTCGTGCTTCGTCGGATTAGACAATGACCTCACGGTTGACCAAAGCTTGCTCACACCAGAGGTGAAATTACAAGTCTTCAGATGCTCCTCCCACTTCTTCCGCTTATGTACGTTTACAAGTTGCCGAATCTCCGCGTTGAGATCCCTGAAACGGGGATCTCCGGACTCGGCCTGACGAAGGCTATCACGCTCATCGGCTAGAACAGCCGCTTCGGCAGGGAAGTTTGGACGTG